AAATCGATGTTCGCGTCTGTAACAACGAACATGTGACACCTGTCATTGGTATTAATGACGTCCACACGTCGTTCTATTCATGATGTTTGGACGATGTTGTCTTTTCTTCTGTCTTTCGTTATTGATGTTGTCCACAGCTTCATGTCGAGTCCTTTGCGTTCCCTTTTCATTTTCATTCACGATTGTTAGCGCAGCACCAACATGGAAAGTGGTGACGGATGTATGATTCAACACATGCTTTATCACAGCTTGAAGGATTTTCACACAACCCATTCCAAATGCGAGCACAGATGAAGGCAATAAAAATGACACACACACAGCGTCTCTCTCTTTAACAAAGTACTTGTCATTCGTCACGAACACGGAAAACAACCTCCAGGACTTCAAAAAAAAGATTACAACATATGTTGTCTTAATGCTGTCACTCCCGGCAACAGCACAACACGTCACAGTTACGATGTAACAGGCCTTGAAGGCAACTTCGATCCCGAGCAGCCTCAAAAACAAAAACACACACCCGAAAATGGACTCCGTCACTCACGGTGGCACCACACTACAAATTGTTGCAAAGACCTACAACCACACGCGCGTCACGAAACCCCCGCCACCGACGCGATGGACTGTGTCATCGCCATAAACCCCACCTGGCGAAAACCTCCTAAGTGCAGCGCAATGCGAAAGTAAACGAAACTAAAGTACGCCAGACAAGCCGCCGCATGCACACCAATGCCCACCGACACAGGTACCTGTCGATTAACTCTCTCTCTCTCTCTCTCTCTCTCTCTCTCTCTCTCTCTCTCTCTCTCTCTCTCTCTCTCTCTCTCTCTCTTTGTCTGCATGCCGCCGGCTCCCCACTACTCGTCGTCTTCACTGCGTACCCATTCGCTCCGCCAGTGCATCCCGCAGGATCGGCGCATCCCCCGTTGACGACTCCATACACATCTGCCTCAATGGGCGGTGCATCCCAAGGTCCACCCTGCGACGAACACCGTCCGGCCCGACCTCCCACAGCAGATTGTCGTCGAACGGGATGCCCGCGTCGATGAGTATGTTGTGCAGAATGCAGACGACGACGAATTGTTGCGGCAACGTCTCCATGTTCGTCTTGTGGGAGCGAAGGAACAACCTTCACATCCCCTTCAATATGTCGAAAGCCCTGTCGACTGCTCCCCTCGCTGTCTTCTGCTTGTTGTCCCCCGACAGGTGCTGTGATACACCGCTGTAGGGGACGACTACCCATTCCGAGGGGGGGTAACCATTGTCGCCCAGTAGATACCCGTTCGTTCGCACACCGAAAGGCAACATGACAGATGACCCAGTGAAAAGCTCCCCTGCCTCCGCACGCGCCCACAAACTCGACAGGTGGACGATCCTCACTTCGTGGCAGCTCCTCGGGTATCCAATGAACACATCCAGCACGCGCAAGTTCAGATCAATGACCACCTGGGCCTGGACGGAGAAACGACGTTTTCTGTCGTAGTAGTCCTCTCCGGGGCAATTGGTTGGCTTATCGATGAAGATGTGGGTACAATCGATGCAGCCATGACAGTTGGGGAAACCCTTGTCAGGGAAAGCGCGCAAGACGAAAGCCTTTTGCAGCCCCGCTGGCCACGATATCTTGTCGCGGTACGCACTCAGCAACGCCGAAGTAACATCCCCCACAACCACCAACCCAGACTTTTTGTCAATGCCGAAGCTGCACGTCCCGCTCTCGTACGTCTACCCCGACGCCCATCTGTACAAAGCGAACGCTACGATGAGGTCCGTCTGGAGGGGCTCCCTATAGAACGTGACACGCCGTTGAAGGAAGGGAGACAAAGCTTCTGCTATCTCCCAGAACACCCGTGGCGACATGCGCAGCTTGTCCTTGAAGAAGTCTTTCGTGGCGTCGTCGCATTGCCGCAGATCCTCCCACACCCCCCCTGTTCGACGCTTCATCCACCACCTGGGCGTCGCTCTGGGAAACGCTCCACACCCCATGGCATAGCACACCTGAAGGACAGCGTCGCAAATGGCACCACTGCCCTCTTCGTCCACATGCATGGACAGTAGCATCTTCTTCCGGCGTGCGCGAATGGCTGCTCTCATCCTCCCCTCGGTCCTCTGCAATTGACACCTTATGAGTATCATGTTCCCGGCCGCTGCCACAGCCGCCCTCTCCGCCTTGCTCAGTGTGTAATGAACCGCGTCCCCGTCCACGTCCATCGCTCGTCCTCGCCAAGTGAAGAAGGCTCGACTTCGGTGGGAGCAACAGCGATGGCACGTCGTCACAACCCGACTGTACGGCGTGCACGTCGACGGCGATGGTGCACGTAGCGAAGTACACAACGTTGGCGATCGTGTGACGGCGTCCGTGCTGCTTCGGACGTATTCATGGGCGCTCAGCGTGGCAGCGTAAGCCACGAAGCCGCCACCCCGTACCCAAACGGTCCCGCCGACGAATGTTGCTGCCGTCAGCCGTAAGGGACACCCGCGCCGCCGTCATTGGCTTACGGGGATTCGAATTTCGAAATTCGAATCCGGGACTGCGCGCCGTTTTCGTACCCTTTTTTTTTTCACCGCCAAAATTCGAATTCGCGCCGCCCACAGCTCCTGGACCAAGGACGACGCCACGGACACAACCCGCTGGACCAACCTCGCCTCCCCCCCCGCGTCCGCGTGTCGAAATATGCAACTGGCTGCGGGAGCACCCGAGGAATCGTCCTCGGGGAACATTTCCGAGGATGAGTGGAACGAAGGCGGGAATTTCCTCAGACGACTCCAAGGAATCGTCCTCGGGGCCCGAGGATGCCCCGAGGAGTGTGGAACGAGCAGCAGTATTCACTTCTACAACCAGCCCTGGACAAGATGATATTGAGGAAGAGTGGAGTCTGACACATTGTGACGCACTAACCTCACGCTTGGTGGGACTTCTGGTCAGAGTAAGGGTGGAGCCTTCAATGCCAGGACCTGCTGGACGGTGATGCTCTTATCACCCCGTTAACCAGAACCCGTGGTGCATAAAGTTTTCAGGGGTAAAAAAATGAGTGGGTTCCCAGAAACTGCGTAAAGGGGTGTGCCAATGATTTTCAGAAATTTCGGGTGGAGTCCCAGATTGGCACTGGGATCTCTGCGTGTGAAGTCCAGCAGGGTAATTGAGGATGAAACAGGGTCGTGAATCAATGGTGAAAAGGACGGATCGGAGAATAAGCATGCCAAGCCAATTATGGAGGGGAAAAAAACAAAAAAGAGAAAAGGAAAGAACGCCATTGGAAAATTCCTTTTTTTCCTTTCTGTTTTTCCTTATTCTTAATTTCTTAAACCAACACACTCCTCAGGTCATGGGGCTGTTACCCAGGGTTGTAGGAGCACTCCCAGATATCAACCCCATAGTTGTGAGGATGGCCCCTCTCTATTGGTGGGGAGCCGCACCTGCTGGAAACCGGGCCCAGCGTCCCTTACAATTGCTCAATTTCAAGAAACGCACCTCCCTCTATACTGCCGTCTGCACCTAAATAGAACGCCCGATCATTATCCCTGTATGTAGACTGAAAGTTGCCCCATATACAGTTATAACGACTGGGCGTTCTACTTCGGTGAAGACGGTAGGTCTGAAACGCATTGTAAATCTTTGTATGCCTGCCAGGCTAGCCATCCTCCTTTAGCTCCCAGAGTTGTTATGCTGTAATCATTCTGACACCACCATCGTCAATTGTCTGCTCTCTGACGGGTCTTCCCAGCTCTCTTCTGCCACCGTGTGGCCACGAGGTAGAGAATTTTCCTAAAGTTTCAGGCTCACTACTTTTTTCTTTTTTTTTCTTTTTTTCTTTTTTTCAAACAAACGCCCCCGCCAGTGTTAGTGCTGCTGATAAGAGCAGACACCACTAACACCTAGGGAGAGGCTCCATCTATTGGTGGGGAGCATCACCTGCTGGAAAACGGGTCCATAATACAGAAACAGGCCTGTAAAGTGTTCAGTAGTGCTGCGTCCCATAATACAACAATCAATGTCTGAGAATGTCTGAGAATGTCTGAGAATGTCTGAGAATGTCTGAGGATATCTAGGGAGTCTGAGCATATAAGATGGGACCTGCCAGCATTGATTGCCCTCCAAATCAGGGGATTGACTGAGCAGGCCTGCAAAGTGTTCAGTAGTGTAGTCCTTTATGAGCATGGAGTATTGTGTATCTCTTCACCCTTGAAGGAGGGCTCCAGATAAACGTTTCAGAGTTGGTACTACTGATACAATTGACTGACTACCCCCAAACTACCACCAGATCCTGCCCTATGTCTCAGGCTGCTCAGGCTATCCTTAGCGTGATCTTCCCCAGGGGGCACCAGGGAGGAGTTCCGTGTTCGGGCGTTGGTACAGAAACAGAGGGGGTTACAGGGGTTACAGGGGTTACAGGGATCAGATATCACATTCAGGGCAGAACTTGTGCGAATGACAGGGCATGGGGCGGGAAAAGATCCGGGAAGTCCGAGAGAGGGCGCAATGGGAAAGAGGGCTCTATGTTAGTCCAGTCCTTGAAAACTAACCGATAGTCTCTTATTTCTTCCAGGTCCCGCATCTCTTCATCC